CGGCCATCAAGTCATCCATGTCGTCGAAAGTTCTGTTCGCTAGCCAATTTTTCAGCGGCCGATTAACGTGATAATCCATGGGGTTTCTGTTGGTGAAGAGGGCGACGTAGAAGCAGATCGATTTCATTACTTGTTCAGCTTTGACTGATTGTTCCATCGTCGAGAAGTTCGTTGAGGTCACTTTATGACGTGTCACCTTCCAATCTTTCAAAGTAATAAGGGGTAATGTGGCATATATGAAGATGACTTTATAGATATGTTTCTGTTAAGGAAAGCATAAAGATTATTTCTATTGAATCTCAAATTCAATATTGAAGCTGAATCGAGAGAAGAAAAGTCGCGAAAAAATTCGCAATACTTATGCATCAACCTATAATTATTAACTGAACTCTCCTTGTTGTTAAACTCGAAATGATAAAGTCCAAACCGTTACAGTAATACACAACCTCAACTGGAAGTCACATTTTTTCACTCACATCAGACATCGCGATTTCGGGCAGTTCAAAACTTCAACGATTCCAAATTCGACTTTAACAACGTACACTACCGTTCAAAAAAAATTCACCGTGAACCTTTTTGCCATAAATGACCTAGAAGTCGAAGTTTTCGACTGATTTTTTGATATGTTGTCAACAGTGATGATTTCCAATGTTTCCATCACAGGAGTCACGAAACTCCTTTTTTTTCGTTCGAAAAGCCATCTTTCACATTTGCTACTGAACAAGACAAAATAACCCAGTTACAGCAATTCAAAACAAATCACCTGACTTGCACGCTGTCATCATGAGATTAAAACCTAACTACGAGTCTAACACTTTCCAGCGAAGCTGTTGCCATCGAAGACGGCTTTGCATCGGCGGAGCACTGATTCGACCAACTTGTCGATTAGGCACTTATCAATTTTTTCCATTTTCCTTCGGATTGGCCGAACCTCCGAGCAGCATTTCTGGCTGTTTTATGGCTGTTCTTTTCCTGAGTTTCCGCCACGAGGATTCAATGATTTTTAGGTAAGGGACTGACTGGGAGTCGAAGCATCGAATTTTCCAATGAGTCACTCACTCGTGCTCCCTTCTAGATCTGTTTGGGGTCGTAACCTTGCTGGAAAATAAATTTTTTGCCGTACGCAGGACGGAAGAAGGGTAGCACGCATTCCTGCAAAATGTCCACGTACATCTGATGGTCCATAGTGGTGGAAATACGGTGCAGGGATCCCACGCCTAGACAAATAAACATCCCCAATCAATACTGGATCGATACCATGCCTGACAGTTGTCAATTGGTACTTGTAGTCGAAACTTGCATTTTGAAAGGTCGTCTATGAACGAAATCCCAGCTGTTCCAAGTGAACAATCTTTGACTAGTCGCTCTAGATGACTTCGCGCCTTTGGTCGAAGGTCCAGTGAAGATGTGTACGTACCCTATGAAAATGAGCTCGTCTATTTTTCAGAAACCCAGACACTTTTTCAAAGGTCGTCTTCCATTTATCCAGCATCACACAGGCGTCTGTTGATGTTACCTCCACATGGTTCAACGTCGAAATTGACGATATTTTGGTTGGTAAAGAAGATGCTCGTCCCGGGATCTTGGATCTACGCATAGATGATCTTTCTATCGTCATCAAGAGCGGCAATCCGTCGCCTTTTCGAGCTGGCTCGTTCGATTGGGCCTGTGAGAGGCTCAATGCTTCCGATAGCCTCTGTGGTCGTAGACATTGACACAACAAACTGCCTTGAATGTTGAGTACGGGTCAATTCCTGCTTTGTGCCCGTGGAAATGGCGGAAGGCTGCTCTACAGTCGGACAGCAAGAGCAGAGTTTCGTCAACTTACGATGACCGATGAGCTAACAGAACGAAAGAATTACATTTCTAAATCCAAAAATCACAATAAAACCTATCTGAAAAACAAGCCGCCTTTGCAGCTTTTTTCGAATAAAAAATTCACCAACTTAGCCGTAAGTAAGCTACCGTCCATTCTGCATCGCAGGGGAGCCGGCAAAAGGGTGCTGTCAAGAAATCAGTCAGAAACATTGAGTTCGAGATGAATAATGGCAAAAAAAAGGTTCAGGGAGGTTTTATTTTGAACGGTATGGTATATCGGTAAGGTAAAACCCCCTTATATATCGCTTGATAGAGGTGGCAAGGGATTGTGAGAGGTTGAAAGTGTTCAGCGGTAGCAGCCTCGGCAAACATGTGCTATAACAGCTTTGCGTGAAAACAACTCCAATTCAAATTATTCGTAATGAGATAAGAAAAATTTCAGAAAACTAAGGAATCTCATCGGCAACATCACCACAACAATCGACATTAGTGATGCGTTGCTAATACTGTTCGCAAAAGACAGGTGAGACTCACACTAACCTCATAGCAACACAGAGAATAATTCGATAGAGTTTAATCATATGTAATCAAAAACCTGACTCTTTGTAAGCTATCAGGCTGATTCGTCTTCAGCCTAAAGGCTTACAAAACAAAATCACGCACAATCCCATAAATGATACTTCTGAGGATTACAGAACTCCTTCAAGCGTGAGTGCTGACCCGTAATCGAAACAAAACCTACGCTAAGGGAAGTAGCAAAGTTTCGCATAGTTCGGTTTTACCACAGAAACACCTTTAGAAGTCGGGACAAGTTCGGGATGGGTGGAGCTTGGACAAGATCATCAGCGAACATATGAGCTCCGCCCACTAGGGCGGGGGTATTGCCGGAATGGGCGGGGCCAACAGTTAAACATCTTACTTTTGGTTCGAAACAATCCAGAAACCGGGGAAAAATGTTCAAAAGTGAGGATTGGTCGACAAACCAGACGAGACTCGCGTGCTGTGGACGGAGCTTCCTTGAAATGGGCGGTACTTTTCAGATGTATTCAAAACTGATTCAGTTAAGGGGCAGAGGCCAGAAAAAAATGAAAAGAGTGAGCAGAGCCTTATGCGTGTTGGGCATGCGTGAGCTTAGCGAAGCCCCGCCCACGATGGGGGGGGGGGCGTGCGTTGAGACGAAAGTCACCCTTCATAAATGAATGCCACTTCGCTTGGAAACGTTCTAGAATGCGGGAAAAAAGTGATTAGAGGTAATGGAACAAATGTGGCCAAATCCTCGAAGTGGGCGGGGTTGGCACTAAAGTGGGCGGGGCTTAGACCAAAAAATTCATANTGGAGCTTGGACAAGATCATCAGCGAACATATGAGCTCTGCGGAGCTCCGCCCACCAGGGCGGGGGTATTGCCGGAATGGGCGGGGCCAACAGT